ATTTATTCAAACATAATTAATACTAATCTTTACTCCCCTTCCCTTCCCCTCTGTTCCCTTCTCCTCCATTTCCTCCACTTCCCTTTACTAATTTTTATCCAAACATATCCTAGGAGAAAAACGATGGATGCCATGCGGAAGCAGCTCGATGTGCTGATGGGCGCGAACCGCAATGGCGACGTAAGGAGGTGAATCGGCAGTACTACGACCGCGATGTCTGCCGCCTCTACTTGTCCGGCCTTTGCCCTCTCGAGCTCTTCCAATTAACGGTATTCTCCTCATTGATTCGTTAATCCGTTTCTCTTTTCTTTATGTTTCGATAATTAATTATTAATGGTTGATGTCTATTTTCTTTCCCTTTGAACCCTACTTTATGTTTTCGAAGTGATTGTATGTGTTTGGTTTCTGAGAAATTTTGGGGTTTTAGAAGCAGTAGAAGTTTTTAGGGATGGATGGGGGTAAGGTTGAAGCCTAGAAGGGAAAGTGACAGATATACACCATCTGGTTTTTAGAATGTAGCCAGAGTTGAGTTGTTCTAACTTCTCATATAACATGCTGTGAGGCTATGTTTCCTTTGATATCCTGGATGACCTTGATAATAGCATCAAGGAATGGTTAATCATTCTTATCATCCCAGGTGCCATTAAGTGGCAGCTTAGAAGTACAAAGTTTGTTGAGGTGTCATGTTTTAACTTGGGGCCATTTGTAAAATTGGAAATTCAAAATTTCTTGCTAATTTCTCTTGTTTAAAGGTTTTAAATATATATTAAATTTTGCACCTAGCCCATTGGGCCGGGTGGCTCTTCCCACCTGGCAAAGGTGCAGTTCCCCCTCCCCCTTGGGGCCAGGTTCGAGCCCTCATGATACCTTGTTCAAAAAATATATATATATATATATATATTAAATTTCAATGATTATATAAAATTCACAAAATTGTGTTACTTGACATTCTAGTAAGTAGTAAACCATATCATGTTCGATGTTTGCAAGCCTTATTGCAAGATATATATATATATATATATTTCAAGTGCTAATTGTTGTACTTACACCAATAATGTGTGTAACTTTTTTTTGGCCTCTGTCTTTACTTAATATTAGCTTTTAAGTGATGCACATGATTGTTTCTAAATTGCAGATCTTGAAGGCAAGACAGATCATAA